GAATCCGCATGGATCTTCTGACAGGACGCAAAGGTGACTTGTACGCAATGACCCAGTGAGTTGTCTCAGGGCTGGGAGAGGTTCCTGGTCTCTCAACACTTGAGCCCTGGTCAAGGCATGATGGCCCTCAGAAAGCCATCAGCAACAATGAGTGCAAATTCACTTCTTTTTACAACTAACATCTTCGATGTGCTGTATCGTGATAGTTGATACAGAGTGAATTTTATTGTATGTAAATTTAAAAAGTGTGGGGGGGAACCACTTTCATATAGGTTATCTTAAGGACCAACCTGTTTATAGGACTGTTTTCCCCTCCTGACAGAAAATATTTGGGTTGCTGAGACTCCTTTTCCTAACACGGGCATCTCTTTCTTTTCCAAAAGCTTTTTTTGCTTTCCACTTTGTAAAGTCCCTTCCCATCTTTCCCACCGTCTGTCTCACAACCTGTGAGACACACAGGTAGTTGTTATCACCCCTTTCTCCAAGAAGTGTGAACGTCACTCACCACCTGTGTTATCTTGGGCAGACTACTTAACCTCTTTGAGCCTCACTTTCCTCAGCGCTGAGCGAGCACGCCCACAACACCCTCCTCACTGGGCCCTTGTGGGTATTACGTTTCATGCAGCATTTCCCAAATGTCCCCCATGATGAGAATCCTCTGGCTGTTTGTTAAAACAGATTCCCAGGCCCCAGTCCAGAGCTACAGAACCAGAATTCCCAGGGGTGAGGGAGGTCTGACAAGCCCTGGGGATTCTTATCAGGGAGATTTGGGAAACACTAGGTTGACTTCTATAAAGCACACAGTGTTGTGTCTGGCACTAAGCGAATGTTTAGTGAGTACTTGTGTTCAGTCTTTGAAATGGGGATAATTACTGCCTGGTAGGGTTTTTATGAGAAAGAAGCAAAATGATGTGCAACGCCCAACAGTAAGTTCTAAATCTGCATTGGTGTCCTCACTCAGTGTACTGGCCCTACCTCTCCCCTCTCAACTCCCCTTCCCCCCTTAAGCCTCTCCAGGCCTCCATCATCCCAGCCCCACATGCACAGCAGGAAGTTCTTCATTTAAATTCCAGGGACCAAGCCTCATTTTACCAATCTGTGTCCCAGGCCCTTCCTTGGACCAGTCACTCTGGTCAGGGTACGGCACATGCTGATTGGCCCGCACTAGGTCACTTGCTCAGCCCAGGAACCAGATAGGTGACCGTCAGCCCCACCTGCACTTCAGGATTGGGGATGGGCCGTGTCCATGGGAGTCTCTGCAGTGGTTTTGCCAGACCAAGAGGAGAGGATGCCTGGCAGGCAACTCCATAGGCGCCCCCGGCATCAGCTCCCAAGTCCCAGGTGGCAGTCTGCGGATGCCCCCTGCCACATTCAGAGCCCGCCTGGAGGGGCTCCGTCAGTCAGGCTGACCAGCCTCAGACCTGCCCTCATCTGTCCAACCATCTCCAGGCCTCTCCTTGCCCCACTCAGCCCTGAGCCCAGCTTGCCACAGGGGCTTGTCCCAGGGCTAGCCCGGGACTCAGGAACACCACTGTCCAAAGCTGCTTATTAGGACCCCACCATGGAAATCCTTCCAGCCAGGAACAAGGAGCCTCTGAACCAGGATAAAAACAGCCTTTATAGTCAGCAAATGAGACGCACCACATCGCTTGTCTGCCTGGCTCTTTGAACACAGTGGACAAGGAAGGGACCTCCGGTGTCAGACACAGGTTTGAAGCGCGGCTGCCACTTACCTTTCTGGGCTAGTTGTCCAGCTCGTCTGGGCCTTGGTTTCCTCTGTGAAATCCGTGTGAGGACGAGGGAGGCAATGGATATAAATGATGACAAGAGTAGGAGCTCATAATCTGGAATCAGCGTCTTTCTCCTCCTCTCCAGGCACCAGGGACGGCCAGCCTGACACTATTGGGAAGCCAAACCCACTACGAGTATTTAAAAAACATAGGATGCATTCCAAAGCCCTGTGCAGCACACAGCTGTGCCCTGGCGCTCGTGGCATCCTGTCCACCCCAGGCTGGGCTGTTCCTCCTGGAAGACGCTGCTGTGGATCGACCGACTCTCCCAGCATCTGGCCTCCCTGCAACCAGGGAGCTGTCGGTTTGGTGCAGAAGCCCAGGAACAGGAGTCCCGGGGCCCAGGGTGAGCTCTGGCACCTACAGAGTGTGCCCTTGAACACATCACTCACCTTCTCTGGATCCTAGTTTCCTCTCCCATGAAATGAGAGGGGTGACTGATAACTGGGGGTTTCTAGCTCTCAAGAGTCCACAGGGCACCTGCTAGCTCTCAGTGGAGAAACCTCACTCCCAAGTGCACTGGCCAGGTGAGCAATGGCTTTACACAGCTGGCTCATACAGGCGTCTCGGGGAAGCAGAACACTCTGGAACCACCCCTCACTGGAATATTCCTGATGCTCTTTGTGGGCTGTGTGACCTGGGTACTGGCACCTACCTCAGGTGGCTGTGAGAATCCAGTAACAATAGATTCTCAGTACCTGGCACACAGCAGGAGCTCAATACACATCAGCCTCTCCCCTCTGGCTAAGCTTCCCCTTCCTCCTTGCCATTCATGAGACTTGATCAAAATAGTTCATTTCTGGGTTTCACCCTGACTCCACCTCTTCTTACCTTCAAGTCACTGGGCCTTGGTTTTCCTCATCTATAAAACGGGTGCAATAGGACTTATCCTCAAGGGCTGATGTGAATGTTCAGTATGACTGACAGTTTTCCTCCCTCAGTCCCATCAGCATTAACCCAGTCATAGTCTATTTTAGCTTGGATTTTTATAGCAATTGTTTCCATATCTATGTATGAGTCAACAGATCCTAAAAACCCCCCCAGGAAGGGAGCCAAGGCCAGAAAACCCAAGGCCAGGCCCAAGTGGCTCTGGATTCACCCACACCCAGGTTCTTTCACCAGCTCTAAAGGCAGAGCATGCCTCCTTCACTCATCCTCACAGCCCCCGTTTTCCACAGCACCGGGCCTCTGGGAGGCCCCTGCCCATCCTACACACAGTCAGGGGATCTCTCCAAAGAGAAGTCAGGCGTCCCAGGACACTACCCAGAGGGGGGAGGTTTCCCAAAAGTGAGGTGCTTCTCAGAGCGCCTCCCCCACAGGAACTGCACAGGCGCCAGGGCTCACATGGGGTTCAAGGCTACAAGGCTGAGGACGAAGACGTGTGCATATGTATAAACTACACAGCACTTCAGTGTAACCCTTCTGGAAAACATGGCACCTTGCACGCGAGTGTTAGAAATGTCACCTTTTGGTGCAATGACGCGACTTCTAAACATTTGTTCTAAGAAATCCTCAAAACGTGTAACAGAATGCCCGCTGTGGCGGTAAGCTGGAAATACATCTAACCATTGGTTAGGATGGAACACATCAGAGTAGTGAGTGGACTACTTCCTACCCTTGTTAGGCAGGTGCTTTGGAAGACCCGTTAAGAGGTAGAAATTATCGTAATAAAGCCAAGTAAAAAAGGAACAAACGTGTTTCACACATTCCCGAAGCTCCCAAGCATATGTTCTAGTTTACAGTCTGAACAACAAAACAATGGAAGGTATTCAGAATAAGGTCTGGTCCCAAATGTTGGCCTAACATTTTGGTCTTTTATCTTTCTCTCTTTACACTCTCCACCCTCCCCTCCAACATGAAGCCTTTAATGAAGAAAGCACACCACTGAGTCTCGCTTTGAGACCCAGAGTGTCCAAACGTCGTGTCTATCGGGTTACATGTCCCGTGAGAAAAGCTCTTTGGTCAGGAAGCCCTGTCCGCGAGCAGGCGGTGTGGAATGCATCTTAGATCAACAGCCTGTTGGACTCAAAGAAGCCATCCCCAAAAAATTGTATAAAAAGATTTATTGAAATTTATCAATGACAAACAGACATAAAACTCAAAGTTTGGCTCTTCCGAGGGGGAGGAAAGAAACGGTGCAGATGCTCTTTTGTACAGATGAACCACGGGCCAGGAAGCGCGTCACTCCTAAAGCGATCCAGAAGAGGGACATGAAAGCAGACCTGTACATTCACTAGGAATTTGCAGTCACTTCAGACTCCCACTAGGTAAGAAAATACAATTTTGCGCTAGTTTTTCCGTGCTCGGGCGTGTGGGGGAAAAAACAAACCAACCCAGCCGACATGCAGCAACTTCTCCTGCACTTAGGTGTGTAAAAACGGTCTAAGCACAGGAGTACACGTGGAAGAATTCTCCTGTCATTTTGTAAAACAAAGCATTCTAATATTTTACAGAACAAGAGAGGAGAGTTTTTTAAAAAAAAAATCTTTCAAAGAGGTTGACGGTTAGGGGTTTGCTTCTTCTCTTTTCATTCTAATCACCGAATGCATTTTACTTATGAGCTTGCTGTTTTCAGCCCTCTGGCTCACAGCTCCTACTCCTAAGAGCGACATCAGAGTCTTCTTCGTAGAACGAAGCCCACCACCATCTGCGAAGAGGGAAGGAATGAGAGATGGGGACCGTCCCCCGACCAGTGCCAAAATACGCCTTTAGGTTGCTATTTAAAACCAGGGCGTTGGATGCCTCTCGCAGGCCCAAGAATGCAGAAATCACGTGACCCAGAACAAGAGGTAAGATGTGGCTGGTGCTCAGTCCCTCCTGGGCTTTGAGAAACCAAACTGAGGCAGCCTCGGCCTTCCAACCAACTCAAGAGACCCGGGAAATACCAGCAAATGTGAGAGACCCCCAGGCCTTCCTCTCTGAGGGTATGGAACAAATGCTCACTTGGTGTGTACTCAGCCATTGCAATTACAGGGACAAAAACAGACACAAAAAAAAGTAGGGGAAAAAATAAAGAGTGGCAGTAAAAATAGTATTTTATTCCACCCCCTCCCGCCCACCCTCTCCCCACAACCCCCAGTACACTTTTCCCCTCTCGTTCCCACAGCAACGTTACAATCAGAAAAAAATAAGTTTCGGGAGGCGGGATTTGGGGGGTACGGGTAAAAACAGTCAAATCACAATAGGAATTTTTCAAAATAGGTTATCCACTTAGTCATCTTCTTCTCCCTCATCTTCAGGTTCTCGTTTTCGCTTCTGACCCTGACCCTTTTCTTCTTCTGGAAGAGCAAGGAAAAGGTGTTCAGATTAAAGAGTGGTCCTACCTCTAATTTACCCCCACCTCCACTCCCCACCCTGAAGCCAGGGGACCAGACATCTAGGAAGCTTTGCCCTCCTGGCAAACCGAGGCAGGGCATCTGCAAAGCCAGGCACCTGCAGCCTCAGATGGGCATGTTCTGCCCACTGCCAGGTCCCTGGGGTCTATACAATCTACTGTCAACAGAAGGGGTCGGCCGCTACCAGCCAAGAGTACAAAGGCTGCCTACCACCACCGGCCTCTTCCTCATCTTCCTCGTCGTCTACTTCCCAGTCGTTATAATCTTCTTCATCCTCCTAGGAGAGAAGATGTGTGCCAGTCATCAGTAGTGCCCCGGCCACAGATCTGCCGAGGCAGCCACTTTCCCCAGCACTGATCTCAAAAAAGGCCTCTCAGCCCCACGGACATTTTTCTCCATCACAGGCCCCTTTTTAAGATTGTAGGGAAAGCTTTAAACTCCTCCCCCAGAAAATACCCCTGTCACATACAATACTTGCAAACAGTGTCAGGGGGGGTTGTGGATCCTATCCAAGGTCAGGAACTCCTGAGCTGAAGTCCCTAGGACCCGGGTAGCACCCTAACCCAATGCGCTGCTCTCCCAGGAGAACAGGCTCCCAAGCAGACTCTCTGTCATGGGAAGAGGCCATCCTTCCATCTGCCTCAATCTAGTGCTGGCTTTCAAGGAAGACCCTGGTTTCAGCAAACACAGATTCTGTGGGCAAGTCCAACCTCACCCCACACAGCCCAGCACCATCTTGCAAACTTGGACCACGTGGAGGGGAGAATAAATTCCACTGAGAGCATCATCCCAGCTCGGTAAGATCTAGCCAGATGTGTGACTTCCTTCTCAACACAGGACCCTTGCTTTATGCTGCATGGGTAACTCGCTAGTTAAATCTCTGCCTGTGAACCCTGTTTCTAAAGCATCGGGCAGGCCATCATTTAACAAGAACTTGGCGATAGACTTCTTTTTGTCAAGGGAAATATCCTTTTATAATGTCACACAAGAATTCCTTAATCAGTCTGTTTGCTGAGACTGGTGTGTGTGTGTGTGTGTGTGTGTGTGTGTGTAAGCTCTCCTCTATTGGAAGCTGGAAATCTGCAGATGAGACCACACACACACACACACACACACACACACACACACTCACTCACACACACAACACAACCCTGCACACTGCAGCTTCTGTGGCAGCAACAATAAGACCAAAAAAACCATTAGTCAACACAACATCCTGCCCTGACCTGGGGGCGTGGGGGGGGGGCTGTTTTCCTAAGGGTTCAGAGGTGAGCCTAGCAGCCTACACCCGGGGAGAGGAGCAACCGCACCGAGACCAGGAGGAACCAAGCCCATCGCAGCGGCTCTCCTCCCGCCTGGGCTGTGCTGGCCGGGCGATCCTGCCCAGGTCGGTGTCTGTGTGCTAATCAAGAGACAGAAAACCGGGAGAAACCAGGAGCCGTGACCATGCTGCCATGATTTTAAACCTCCCAACACCTAACTTTTCTAATCAGCAGGAGCTGATGCAGAGCAACCAATACAAAACCCGGCACGCGGAGCCGGCATCTTGGAGAAAGAAGGGTGTGAAAGCCTAAAATAGCAAGTGGTCAAACACTTGTGAGTAAAATGCTTGTGAGTAAAATGCTTGTGAGCATTTTACTCACAAGCATTTTAGTCACAAATTAGTTTATCCTCTTGACAATATAGTGAGTTGATCCCTGTTTACAATCCAGATGGCTATTTCTCAGATGGAGAAATAGAAAGGTCAGGGAACTTGTCCAGGGACACACAGCTAAATCTGTGCTATATTACCACTCAGACACATCCCAGACTTGTCAGAAAACTAGCAACCAATATGGTGAGAAAATGGCATTGCTTCCACTGTGTGCACTAGACCCTTGTCACTGATTTGGAATCCGGCAGTGTCCTTCATTATCCATCAGTTCAGGGCAGTCTTTGATTTTCACTAACTCACTGTGAGTGCTCAGTAAATTAACACATGAATGCAAAAGGACAGGAAATGGAGACATGGATGCAGCAAGAAGTAATTTTCACACAGAAATGAAGGCCAGGCTTACCCCCGCAGGTGAGGTCCCCTCTTTACCTGCCTCCAGAACCCCCTCCCATCCACTCCTAATCCAACTTCCCAGGGCTTGCTGCAAGTCTGGCCTCTCTCAAACCAGCCCCAAGTCCCTCTTACTTGCTGACTCAGACTCAGAGAGATGGTACCCCACCCAGCCAGGCATTTACCTCTTCCTCTCCACTCACGTCCTCCTCTTCACCTTCCTCCTCCTCTTCCTCATCCTCTTCATCTTCCACTAGATGAGCATCCTCATCATACTCTTCCTCTGTGCAGCGAAAATGGGGACAAGAACGAATTGGTGGTGAGCTGGCTCCTCCCTTGCACAGCACAGGGCCAGGCTGGCGGGCCTGGCAGGGGTGGTACGGTCCTCAGTGTGAGGCCTATGACCTCACACCCCACCAAAGCCCAGAGCCTAGATTCCTGAAGGTGATGGAGCACATCCTAAAATGATCTAAAAGAGAAGCACTTGAAGTGGTGTGAGCAACAAGCTCTGGTCCCATTGCTGAACAAAAATGAGAGACCTTTTGTGAAGGTTGAGACCATGGAGAAATGGAAGTTTCAGAGGAACAGGGACAGGGCCCGGGAAAGCTGAGAAATTCATTTAGAAAGAGCATCCAGCCAAACTGCTCACTTTAAAGCAGGGGTGGGGTGTAAAAGGCCCCAAAATATTTGATCTGGTCCTGCCAAGGCATTAGGGGTGAATTAATTAAATGTTTGACCAAATATAGCAGACTAACTCTTAAGTTGATAATTCTATATGGCCCTCAAATAATGTCATAAATATCCAAATGGCCTTTGGCAGGAAAAAGGTTCTCTACTCCTACAAGAAATCTGAGGCAGAGGGGAGAAGTGACTTGTTCAAGGTCACACATCAAATTTGTGCCTAGGAACCTGGTCTCAGGACTCCAGTCCTGGGCCCATTACGTTGTATCACAAAGTGCATGAATAACTTGCAAAAAACTCACATCTAAGGAGGAAAACCAAAATCTTGGGTCTGAATGAACCAGGCTATTCTCAACTGTACTCTGGCCATGAAGACCCTTGGAAAAGCCACACCGTGCTGGTGACGAGGGAAGATAAGAGAAGGTGCCCATTCCTTTCCCTCCCTGCCCCTGCCCGCTCGCCACACTGCCAGGGAGCCCACCAGGCTACCTGCAGCCTCCACTTGCCCGGGTCCCTGGGGCTCACAAGTTCAAAGCCCCTGAGTCCTGGACTGTGGCTCTCTGGGCTGCAGCCACCAGGGGGCCCCACAACCTCTCCAGCTCTACGACTGGACACCCCAGACCATGCCCCACCTTCCTCTATCTGCTCCCCACTCCCTGGGACAGTGTCTGGGTCTAGAGTCACACTAGACAGCATACAATCTCATTTCCAGTGGGACTTTGGAAAGGAGGGGAAAACCCCAAGCGAGGCTTCAGCTAGATGGTCTTTAATAAGTTACTACACAGGCAGAGTCAGGCTGTTTCTCTGGGGCTCACGCACGGTTCTCTTAGGGGAGTCAACCAATGACCCAGATTAGGGACACCAGCAAACACAGCAGAGAGTCCCACTCCCTCCCTAGCTTTGGAAGGAGGCTGTCAGTCCTTCCCCTGAGCAGCCAAGGGGGCCTCCCAACACCCAGGCCACCCCTCTGTAAAGCGGGGAGGAACCAGGCCTGCCCTGGCCTTCACTCAGCCACCCACCGTCCTCATCCTCCTCCTCCTCGTCGTCCAGGCCCTCTACGTAGCCCTCGGCGTCAGAATCGGGGGCCTCCTTGTCGTCCCGGTCGTAGCCATCGAGATATGTAAGTTGTGGGAGGAGCTTGAACACGTTTTCTCGGTAGTCGTTCAGGTTGGTTACCTCGCAATTGAAAAGGTCTAAGCTCTTGAGGTTTTCTAACTTTTTCTGCAAGCAGAAAAATAAAGTCAACGGTGAGTGACCTGTGGGAGGCAGGAGAGGAGGGGGCAGGTGGGGCGAGGGGAAACCACCGGGAACACGGGTGGGGATGAAGTGAGACAGTGTGAAGAGCCAAGGCACAGGGGACAGAGAATTCTGATTTGGTCCTGCTCGGCCACAGTGTCACCCACACACATCACCCCGGTTTTGGCCTCAGTTTCTTCACCTGGAAAACGAAGGGTTGGGTTTTATTGTTAAGATCTCATCCAAAGCCCACACTTTCATTCTGCTTGAAATGAAGCAGGGCTCTCTTGGTGCAGGAGACAAGAGCTGTGCTGCCTGCCCCTGTGACGAGGGGCCAGACGGGAACTAAACCGGCGGCATGAGCCAACATACTAACCCTGCTGCTAGAATAATAGGAGTCAACACAGCCCTTGTGTGTTAATTTGTCCTCAGAACCCAGATAAGGTAGAAGTCATTATCTGCTCGTTTTCCAGATGAGGAAGTAGAGAACTGAGGTTTGGCAGCCCAGCTTCACCCCTGTGCCTACTCCCCGCCATGCTGCCCATCAAAAAGGACAGAAAATCCAGCGGAGGATCCAGATTTTGTTCGTGGCACTTCCCATGATTACATTTGCTCTGTCAAAGCTTTATCTACGAGGGTTTAATAAGCTCATATATTCCTGCTTGGTGTCTGAGGAAACTGAGGCCCAGGAAGGGTCACACAGCGAGCAAGAAGGCCCTTCCCCAGGCCAAGACCCTGTTCCCATGGGGCCAGGCCTAACGGCGACTAAAGCCACTGTCCCTCAGGGTCAGTGTCAGGACCCAGGTTGCTCTCTCAAGAGCTCAAGATAGAGAGCTGGTCATTCTCAGCAGATGATCACGGGCAGGCAGGAAATCTGGGCCGTGGTTTGGGTGGGTGAGCCCAGCACCCCCAACCAGAGCAGGTGTCCACCCTGTAGTGGTGAGTGTAATCCATCAGTCACACTGATCAGTAGGAAAAGGAAGCTACAAAAATGTGTGGTCTGGGTGGGAAGAGCATGCTGTGTGTGTGTGTGTGTGTGTGTGTGTGTGTGTAATGTGTGTGTGTCTATATCTGATCTCTAATGATTTCCTTTTTGTAATGAAATTAAGACTTTCAGATACAAAATAGTTTTGCTTTCCGATCAGAGGACTTGACAAAAAGTTCCATGGGAAGCCCATTCTGGTGAGTGACCCCATGCCACAGACGGACAGAAATGTCTAACTTCCTGTTCTGCCACCTGGGCCATCCACCAGCCCCCGAGCACCCAAAGAGGGCAAAGAGTGCTTTGTGGACAAGAACCCTACAAACCCCGCTGAGAAGTGCTCCGCCCTCCACCCTCAGGAAAGGGAAACCTGACTAAAGACCCGCCGGGCTTTCCCCTCGTTCTCAGTTGCACGGCGTATGAAGTGACTCTTAGGTGGATATTTACAGTAAGTGTGTTTATCTTGTGAGGAAGAACTTCTGTCTTTCAAAAAAAATAAATAAATAAAATCTACTAATGAACCAATAACAGTTGACCTCCTTAAAAAAAATTTTAAGATAATTCAGTCCTTCAGATCCTGCGTGTGTAAAAATTGTTATCCTGACCTGCTCCTGCTAGTGAGAACGTTTGGGAAGACAGCAGAGGGAGGCCAGCACGAGGCTCCCAGACCAAGTTCTCTGCCGTCCCTGACGGCTTGTGTCAGGGCCAACCTATCCCTCACCCTTCAGAGGCACCAGCCTCAGGCCAGTCAGTGACCAAGGAGAAAACAGATTTGCCTCCTCCGGGATCAGCCTAATTCTTGGATGGATCCTCCCTCCCCAAAGAGGGACCGGGAACCTGGAGAAATGACAGCTCCAATTTCCAAAGGGAAGCAGACGCTGCATGAGGAAAAGCGCTAGGCCAGACCCTGAGGCTAGGGGCCTCGCCTTCACCCAGACCGCCAGCCTGGCTGTGTGACCTGGGCCAAATCACGTAACCTCTCTAGGGCTCAGTTTCTTGACGGATGAAGCAGAAATACTTGCTCAAACTCTATCTCACGCACATAGGGGGAGTTAAATGAAGTTAAAAAGTAAAGTGAACGGGGAGAAACTCAGAAGCAGCATTCGCTGCTATCAGTCCTGCCCCCCGCCCGCCCCGTGGAGAGGGGAGGACCCAATGACTCACCAGAGGCTCTATTGTGCTGAGGTCTCTAATTTTGTTGCCACTTAAGTTTAGATGCTTGAGGTTCGGACATTTTTCTGCCAATACTTCAAGGCCCCCTGAGATTCTGTTATCGCTTAGTTCGAGCTAAACAAGGCAGAAAAATAAAAAGCAGAAACAGCTCTTAAAATGAAGGTGCTATGCTCAGAGCCCAGCAGACACCGGGGCAGGCAGCTGGATACACCCTCCATTTGTTCCCTAAACAAGAAGTGATGGTCATCCTCCTCCCTACCCCCACCGCAGGCTTGAGGGCATACACACATGTGCGCGTGTATACACACACACACACACACACACACACACACACTCCTCTACACTATTTACCTTTTTAAGTTTGTTTAACTTTGGTAAGTTTGCGACTGAGGTGAGGCCTACGTTGATTGTACTTAAGAACTCCAGTTCTTCAAATTCATCTGTGAGGCCTTCGATTTTGCCTTCATAAGACCGACAGTTGTCCAGCACAAGCTCTTTCACCTGGAAAGGGAAGGGCTGTGAGTGGAGGAAGGAATGGGACCAAGGAATGGGGTCAGGCCTCCTTGCGGGACAGGGTGACAAAGCCAGAAAGCAGTTCCTCCTACATTGAAAACACGCCCACCCTGGTCCTTCCACCCGGGGGCTCAGGCTGAGGTGAGCGGAGCTGCAGAACCAACCAGGGGGCACTCCGGACAGGAGGCCTGGCTGAACCGCAGAAGGTAAGTTCAGTCAGCCCTGCCGCATCGGCAACACTGCTGGTCTCATTCCAGCCCTGCCAATCGCCACCACAGCCTCACCCCACGCCCACCATGGCCCCAGCCTGACAGGCCCGGGGCAGCTCCCTATGTCCCACCCCTCCCTCTCCCCCGGCGCTCTCTTCCCCTCCCTGTGTCTGTGACCTTCTTCCTGCGGGCGGACCCTCCCTCTCACACCGCTCTCCCCACCAGGCATGACCTGCCCACCTGGCCTGGGATTTGTCACCATGGTCACTGCATGGCCTACCCCAGGGCAGGAAGAGACAATTAGGGACCCCTGCTGTCCCACGGAACTTCCTGCGGCGAGGGGAACCCCAGCCCTGCCCAAGAGGGGAGCCCCTGAGCACCTGTGGTGTGGCTGGTGAGATGGAGGAATGGAGTTTTAAACTTAATTTAACTTTAATATTAAGAGACACGTGTAAGCTACCGTAACAGATATCCTATCTCTCGGCTTTGCCCTTCAGGGTCCTGAGAAGATGTGGGAGGAGAGAGTGGGAATCCATAAACCAGGATGGACCCATAACGAAATGCTGAGGGCAACGAAGTCCAAAAGCTGGTCTTTGGAGGCACTTCGATGGCTGCCCCATGCCCACCTCTCTGGAGGCAGTTTGCCCTATTAGGGGTCTTAGATTCTCCTCTCTTGGGCCCCAAATCTTTTATTTCTAGTGAGGTAGAAAGAAGCGATAAAAATCTGCCTTCTCGTTAGGTTGTGAGAAGGCAGGCTTGGCTGATGTGGGAGGCCAGCCAGGCTTTCGGACGATAGGGACACTGGCTGAGAACAGCGACCATGTCTCAGGCCTGCACTGATCTAGGGAATCAACCAGGGCAGCCCAAATACCCACTCGGGTCCCTGACAGGCTGGCACGGCAGCCCCAGGCCTCCCAAAGCCGGCAGGCACCTTAAAGATGATTCCACCTGGCCACATCCGGGGCCCGACACAGCACCCCTGCCTGCTCCCTGAAGCCTCAGGAAACATGCATGCTGCCGCCTGCACATGCTGGCCCTGGGACTTCTGCCCCAGGTCTAACCTCTCACCCCCGGGTCACACGGACAGGCCTGTCCTCCTCAGCAGCAGTCTGCAATGTCCCACCGGTCATTCCTGCCCCTCAGAGCCTCTTCTTCTCAGGGATAAGCAGTCACACCCTCTAACCCGCCTGCCAGGCTGCCCCCACAATTCCCTGCAGCAGGCCAATTTGCTTAGCTTTTCCCTGAAGGGTCCAGGATGACCTTCTCGCCGAGGTCGTCCAGGTGTCCCTCCAATTGGGGCATTTCTGGGTCAAATGCCAGCTTGGGGGAACGACCCACAGCAGGCCTGCCATGCCCCTCTCAGTCTGTGCTCGCCAGTGGGCAGACTAGGGGAGCTCAGGGCACATCAGTGCTCTCTTTCTCCCTGCTGGAGAGATGCACAAGCTCAGCCCGGCACCCCATCCTCCTCACGGCTAGGAGGCTCTGGGCCTCGGCACTGGCGCCAAGGCCCACCTTTCCTGGGGCCTATCCTGTCCGTTCCCACTCTCTCAGTCCCCAGAAGAGGCCAGATGTCCAGGTCAAGTCACCTTCTCAAGGTCAGTGGCAAGAATGCCTGGGAATAAGTCCTACCCTCAGGCAGGAAATCAGTGCAGAGCCAGGAAGCCAGGCCTCAGGGGAGCAGAGCAGATGGAGGGAGCAACTGTGGGGGGGGGGGGGGGGAGAGGACCCTCCTTCGGTCTGTGGTAAATGCCGGAGTCACAGGCCCACCATCTTTTCTAGTTACTGTTTGCTTGGAAGAAGGTCTTGGGAGTTCTGTAACCTCCACCAAAGAAAGAAGCATGAGGACGGATTCCAATCCACCCTCAACGATTTCAGACATGCAATTCCGCTAACCGGGTCAGCGGCTTCTCCTCTTAAGGCCATTAGCCAAGGAGAAGGCCCCGCAGCTGCGGGGAGGCGGTGCTGGAGAGCCGAGGGAATTCCTCCTGGAAGTCGACCTCTTTCCCGGAGCAGCGCAGTGCTGCCTGGGAATTCTACAGACAGAGGCTCCGGCTCCAGCTCCGGCTCCAGCTCCAGCTCCACACCAGGCTGGAGGCCATTCCTCTCGGGACCAATAGGCAAGTAAATGCTACTATTACTACTGTGTTATTCATGACGATCCTGGGCTCTTTCCTGAGCCCTCAGCTAGACCCACAACGGGCATTCTCCCATTTCTCAAGGGCAGAAGTGATCCCAGGAGGGTGCCTGCTGGCCCGCTGGTCAGTACTGGCTCCTGATTTCTGACATTCTCAAATACAGGGCACGGGCGCTCCCAGCGAGCCAACTCCATCGGACAAGCTGCCCTGACAGCCACCTGCTCCCCTGTTACCCCTCTTTTAACTGTTCCACCTGCCGGGTGGGGGCCACTCCCCGTAGACCCCACGCTGGTTCCACTTCCTCAGTAACCAAAGCACAAAACAACCCAGCCCTCGCTCGGAGGAGGCTGAAGTCAGGGAGCCCAGATCTGGAGACCCCACTCTCCCTGGGGAGCAGGAGGCTGCTTCCGGTCACTGGCCAGGGAGGCCTGTGGTGTCGGGGAGCCGGGTCTGTGGGGCTTGCAGGCCTGTGGGGCATGCAGGATCCCCGGGGTTTCTGCGTTTCCTTCCTGGTGGGGGTTTCGGCACTCTGAGAGGTGAGATTAAAGAGGAGGAGGGGCAAGTCCAGGCTTAAATCCCGGGGTGCTGATATCACCAACATGTACAAACCACACTGCGGGAAACCCACTTCTCCTTTGTGGGTTGATGGGGATGGCAAGTAAGCTGCCCGTGAAAAGTCTGAAATGGACCAAACAGGAAAAAACAAAAAACAAGAACGCCAGCCCCACAGCAGAAGTCATACCGAGAAGGAGGGCCACACTCTGAGCTCCTATCCCTATAGGAACAGGCTCTCTACCCACACCCCAGCCCGCCCCGCCGTTCCCTCCCGCCTCTGCCTGGTGACCACGCTCGCTCTAACCTTCCAGGTGAAGAGCATATCCTTCACATTCGGGGAGTGTTCTCCCTAAAAAAATAAATAAAGGCCCGTTTCCTCCTGCCAAATCCTGGGTGTGAGTTAAGTGCAAAGTTAAAATTAAACCGGAAATTTGTACTTTGGGTTTAGACTCTCTCCCAACTCCGCTGGCTGTTTAAAAATATCCAGTGTGGTTACTCTCTTTCCAGTTCAACAGCTGGGCCGACACTGCTTGTATCGGGAGCTCTTCAGACACACCAACGGCAAGCCTACCGGGACCCTCTGCTTCACGCCTCAGGTGCTAGCACCCCAGAGAAGCCTGAATAGCCACACTCGGCCCCACAGAGAGGAGTGGAGCAGAGAAGTTCCCTAGAAGTCAGAGGGCCCGGCCCTGGTATTTCCGGAAACACTTGTCCACAAAGCAAGAACGCAGTGGCCACTTCTCACCAGCGAGAGCGGTGAGGTCCGTGATCAGCATGGTCACGTTATCACTCAGGAACCACGCCCTGGCTGTTCCCAAACTGTGCATTCGTGTCTACAGTGGCTCCAGTTTGACCGTTCCTCTGTGTTCCCAACACTGCAGCCTGGTCCTGGCCAGTTACGTCAGCTACTCTAAGCCGCTCTGCTCCCAACGGGGCCTCTGTGACAGCAGGGGCATTGGACTCCCAGGAACAGGCCCTGACTGGAGGCCAAGGACCCGGCTGACGGGCTGAATGAACCCTGGCTATATCCCTGAGATGTTGGGCTCAGTCTCTGCAGAAAGGGGGTGATATTTGTTAACCTATAAAACGCAAACGCTGGCCTAGAAAACATTCCCAGCTTGTGGCCACCGCCTGGGGGAGGGGGAATTCAAGTTCCTAAACTGACCTGAGAGGCCCTGCCCTCTGGGTCTCCCCCTTCGCCCTCCAATCTCCTTGCTCCCCGCCTCTCCTCCCTGCACAAGGCCCCCCTCCCCAGGAGGCCTTCCCCTACGTCCAGCTCTGAGCATCCCAGGCACTGAAGGCAGCTGCCGCATGAATCATTTAATCGTGTATTAAGCATCCGATCCTCCTAGAGGTCAGGGACTGTCCTTCTCCATAATCAGCCTAGCGGGGAGTGGACACCCGAGCAACTGCTTAACAAATGTCCAGTCCATCGTGCCAGGCACAACACTAGGTGCGGGGCACGCAGAGTAAGTCAGACCACGACATGGACATTGTGACCGGTCCAGGAATGAACACACTGCTCTGTGAACGGCGGCAGCAATGGTTTCCAGGATGTCTTGTATCCCGGAGACCAGCGAACTGTGCATGCTCCTCCCTCCTGACCCAGGGCTCTGCCCTTCTCTCCAGACACAGTGCTCCTGTGTCGCTGTTCACCTGGGCCCATGCTGAGGGACTCGGAGGGGACAGTGAGCAGGGGGAGTGGTGGCTGGCTAGGAGGAGACAGGCAGCTGGTAGACAACTACAGTCCTGTGTGCCAGCTAGGAGGCATACTGTGGGACCGAGAAAGACAAAGCATGGGGACACACATATCAAAGTAAGGACTGGCCGTGTAATTTGTAGGGCCCAGAGCAAAATGAAAATGTGGGCCTCAAACAGAGTCCTCTGAAGGCCAGAACCAGAGGAAAGGAAGCTGAGTGAGAACTGCTCTTTATTTTTCCAGCATTTCCTGAGGCTGGAGAGGTGGACAGAGGGCAGGCTCTGGAGTCACGATACACCTGGCTCAAATCCACTCGCTTGCTCACCTCACCCCTCCTGAGCTCCTACAATGACCAGAGTGCTGACCACTTAGGGTTGGATTAAATGAAAT